ACAACAAAAAAAAAAGAAAGAGGGTGGGGGGGGGGGGGGGGAGAGACTATGGAAGAACCAAAACACAAAACTGCTCTAAATAAGAACTAAGGAACATAGAGTTAGAGCAACTAGAAGGACAAAACAAAGAAATAACTAGAATCACCAAAAAGATAGGGATGGATACAGACATAAAAGAACTAAACCTAAAGTAACAATAGAACTACAAGGGAGACTGAAGGAAGGAATAACTAGATAAAAACAGAAACAGCCAAGAAACAAAATCCCAACCCAAAACCCAGAGTCCTGACAGATAAATGATTGCAACCAAATAAAATTTTCAATACTGCTCCAAAGATAAAGGGTGTTAACTGAATCTTTTGATCCCCAACACTGTAGGTGTAAGCTCTGGTTCTTGCAGTAATTGTGCTCTGGGCCAGCCCCTCCTTCTGTTGCGCTCAAACCAATTAAACTGCAAGCAATTAAACAGGTAATGTAATCTACCAGTACCCAACAGCAACTAAGGGACACTTACTCCACTACACGTGCACACAAGTAGTAGCAAATCTGTTCAGGGGATAACTGACAGATAAGATATATTTTATTTTCTAGTTCTTGGGTGCCCCACCTCCTTCTGATACTGCCCTGGGAAACTGCCCAGATCAAAAACCAACACTGTATGCACATTTTCAATAAATGTTTAAGTTTTATTGTCTCAAGCCAAACCTTTCTGAAGATTCAAATTTTTCTAGGTTTTTATATTCAGGAAGGTTTAAAGGAATTAATTTTGTTTTAAAAGTTTTAAATCTAGAAATCTCCGTCTCCATTCATTTCTGATGGAACTTGGGTGTGAACTTGTTCATCTTTTCTGTCGTTCATTGCTCACCCTGTGTTGAGGCCATAAGTTGATTCAGTTAACTAGCTAATTCTTTGCAGGAGAGTGGCTTTTACGTCAAAATAGGTAGTTTGATTAATGTCACGCATAAAAATTTTCAGATGATTCACATGCACTAATACTTCACTGTTGACAGCCCTAACACACATAATTTTTGATTGAGTTAATTGCAGGGTCTGTAATTAAATATTCTCAATCTCATTTTAATTAAAAACTGTATAACAAAAGAGGCAACATTTTCAATTCAAAAACCCCTTTTGCTGCTAAAAGGGGTTATATATCTGAGCTCAACAACAAATATTTTTTGTTTTTAAATCAGTTAAGTTGTTCTGATTGGTATAAAATGCTTCATATCCATTCAGCTTTCAAGTGTTTTGGAATTTTTTTTAAAAACTGTGGATGCTGACATTAGCACTGGGGACGTCTGTGCTGCTGCAACATGTTTAGCGTTTGGATACTATCTTAGGTTTGAATAGCTTTGCTGATAGGCCATCTCCTTTGTGCACAGCCAGCAAAAACAAACAATAGTCTTTTCCAGTGGCCCACCAAATTGTTGTTTGTTTTTTTTTTAAAGCAAGTTAATTCCCAGGGGGCCAAGTGTAGCAGTTCTGTTGCTGTTGAATGCAAATTTTTCTTGTACAGATTTATGGGTGTATCAGAGACATCCATAAGTGTGTGTGTATTTGTATGTTTGTGAAACCTGTCCAACATAGGTCTCCCAGCACTGGTCCTGTTGAGATCGTGCATTTTTCTCAGAAGGAATTGTCTGGTTGTATGCAATAACTAAGCTGCTCCTGTTGTGGATGAAGTTGATTGCTGTGCTGATGGTTGCCATGGTACTGTTGTGATGCTCAGACACAGATATCCTTGGTACTTGGGCAGAGAGACTGGATATGGTGGAGCTGGTGTTAGTCCAGTTACTTGAACTCTCATGAGGCTGAAAGATAAACATTATATAGTCAGAACAAAGATGAAATTATTGTTCTTGTGTAGCAGAGAGTTCCTGCATGGATGCTGTCCAGGGCGAGCACTTTTGCACAATTGCAAACCAATTTTGTTTTAAACTAACAATTTTTCATCCACATAATATAAACTACACAATAAGGAAATGCAACATCTTTTTAGAATATTTTCTTTCCTTTTCTGAGGAGTTGGGGGAGTGTAAGCTTAGAGCCTTTTGTGATGTAGAATTCTCACAGCTGCAATCAAAGCTGTGCTAAATAAATTCATGACCAGCAACAGGCCATGCAGTTTCCCTGTTATTAGTACATTTTCTTATGCATAGTTGCTTCAGTTTAGTTTATTTGTGTAGCACCAATTTAGAATAAATGTAGTTTTAAGGCACTTTACAAAAATTTAATTCAGTCTGATCAGATAGATTATAGTCATTTGATCCTCATTATCAAATAATGCAATCAGATTTACTTTGTTACTGAAATAGAAAGAAGTCAGTCAATCGAAGGAACCCAACAGAATGCATAATACTGAACATGAATGTAGCGACGGGAAAGAAAAACTCCCCCTTACAACCTTACAAGAAGGGGCAGCAAACAAAGCTAGGACCAGGCTTAGGGGAACTGGTTGTTGTCTGCCACAAACAGGTGGTTTGAGAAGACAAAGCATACACACAATATGCACACAGAAGAGCTAATCCAGGTCTACTTCTGATGTAAAAGAAAAGTAGAAAGTTAATGGAAATAGAATCTTTAGTGGCTTCATCTAAAAGAAGCCACTAAAGCGTATTTTCATCATTGAAACTTAAAAAGTTTGATGCAATCTGGGCCGTGATATTTCAACAGATGATTAATAGAGCTAAAACTATTAAACCACTCAGCGCAGATAAATCTGACAATCATCAATGAATACCAGTGGTCTCAGAATCAAACCCTGCTGAATTTCACGCAAGTGCTGAGGTGTTTTTTTTGTTTGATTTTTTTTTTTAACGAACATTAGCATAAAAGTGTCTTTCACTCAAGTAAGCATGGAACTACTTTGGCATTGCTGCTATAATGCTAACCCAGTGTTCTAACCATGATAAAAGATTGCTGTGGTTAACAGTATCAAAGGATGCGGTTAAGGTTCACAAGTATAAGAGTCACAAATGGATCAGTCATTTTCTAAACAGCTTTAGGTTGTTTAGGATCTCGGGTTGTTTTGGGATTTGATTATAGATTCTAGTTTTGTCATTATTCTGTATTCCTTAATTTCTTATTCCGATTACATTAGCTGTGTTTCTCTTTTACTTCAGCTAAGTCCGTTCTTAGTGGTTCTAATTTGTATTTTTTCCTTGTCTAATTATAGGCATCATGATGTGTTTGTGCAGATGGATCCAAATGCAGCAGGCATTGAGTAGATATCCTGGATTTCAATGAAAGAAGAAGGAACAAAAAATTTACAACAAACATCATGGAAGACACAAGAAAGATAGGGAGCCAGAGCAGAACAAAAAAAAAATCACAGGAACCAGGAACAACAGGGAAGTAGCTGGATTTAACAGGATTAGACTGGTAACCACCAATGAAAAACTGAGATATTGCCAAAATATTGCTAATTCCTACCATAACACCAGTATTAACAATGGATATCAACATTGGCCCAATTTTCTATATTTGTGCATCACTAACAATTACGTTTCAGTAGTTTAGAAAATTAACCTGTAACAGTAATGGCTCCATTTTAAGTTAACCTGGATAAAAATTATGCAAAAATATTAAATTATACTAAGTTTAATAATAAAGCAGCAGGCTCACAAATACACATAAAAATGTCCATAAACCAGTTTTTAGATGATGTATTCATCTTCTATCAATGTAATAGATGAACTCTCACTTTGCCCAGCTATAGTTTTTGTATCCATAATTGCGACAGGATGGGGCTCCTCTGTCACACACAGTACCAGCTACATACAGCCGTGAAGCCCTCCACCACCCATTTGTTGTGACCGGGATGGAGGTAAATTTATTTTCTGGTTTGTCTGTAAACTACATTTATATGGGGGAATTTTTCTGTCATAATTTGAGAGCACACATTAAAACATTTTCAATCTGAAAGCAAGATTTCATGTCTTTTGTTGTCAAAACTCTTAATATTGGTGCTTACATTTTGAGTTTGAAGGCAGGACTTTGTGTCATTCTTCTTAAAACTTCTAAGGCTTGTACATAAAGCTTCTGCCTCTATTTCAAATATTCACTGTGCTTTCTCAGACCTTTTTCCTCGTGCTCAAAACATGTCTCTGCTTATATCAAATCTCTGCTTGCAAACCTCTGCTCCGAATCATACGGGGCCCCTAAGGGGACATGGAGAAAAAAAAAAGAAAAAAAAGAAATCCCGACTTATTTTCTTGAGATCCCAACTTTTTTTCTCGATCCCGAGAAACTTTCTCAAGCTCCAAAAGATCAGTCATAATGAAATTATCACAGCAATGGAGGGCACACGGGGGAGATTTTTAGGTTTTCATTTCGAGTTTAGGCTTAAGTATAAACATATCAGATCAACGCTTGACAGAAAGTTTTCATATAAGTGAGAGGCATCTGAAGAGAGTTCTGAATATCTGCTACCCAACAATCTATCCTTGTGGCAGAGCGCATAGGAAAATCTGACGGCACAGATCGGCAGATTTTCATACAATAAGCACATCTAGACATTTATGTCGGTGTTATCTTTCAAAAACTGCAACAGTCATGTTTACAAAACCATAGGAGTTAGTAAATATAATCGGAAATCATTCTTTAAGTCAGAGGTTCCCAAACTGTGGGGCGCGCCCTC